GAGGCGAGGCTCAGCATCAAGCTGTTCTGAAAGGGTTGGGGGGAGGCTGGGGACTTGAACCCGAGGGGTCTGGCTCTAAGAACCGTTAGGTAACAGGCACCAGGGCACCGACATGCGCTGTCACTATGCCTGTCTCTAAGGGCACCCCCTTAGCCGAGTCCCCATCCTCAGCCACGGCCTAGGCAGTGCTCCATGCTCCATGCCCCTAGAGTTTCTTAGAGCAGAGTTCTGGGGGCACCCGAATCTCTATCCTCTACCCCCGGGACCTGCCTCTGGCTGTCAGGCATCAATTGTGGCCCCCTGCTGATTGAACATGACCTCTGACTCTTAAGAACACATCTCTTGCTGGCCTCGCCCTCTGTACCCTGCCCTTTGCCCCTTCCCGAGGCCCCCTGCTCCAGGCTGGGCACTGCAGCTTCTGGCCTGCAGCCTGGTCAGCATCCTTGAATCCTGCTCCGGGCTTCCATCCTAGAGACCACCAATCCCTGCCCTCGCATCTCCGTGCGTCTGTCCCCTCTGCCGCCCTTGCTGGCACTTCACCTCATCCTTGCCTGTATCCTCACAGCAGCCCCCCACTCCCCCCTGCCCCCTTCCTCAGCGCCAGCTCGCCAGCATTTCACTGGCTTTTGACTGTTTCTGGGCCAAGACCCAGATGTCTTGCTGCAGCTCCTGAGACCTGCCAGGACTTGGCCCAGCCTTGTGACGTCCTCAGGGCCTTTTCTCCCTCTCATATGCACAATATATCCAGTTGTGGTCTAGGCCCTAGCTCTTCAAAACTGCCGCCTTCTGGATATCGCTATACCCGTGCTTCCCTGGCCAGATTCCTCCTGGGTGACACCCTCTCTGACCCTAGGATGGACAATGTCCACAAGCGACCCTCAAGAGGGCTTCCCTTAGCAGGGGGTATCTGCCCACCCTGCAGATGGAGAGACTGAGGCTCAGGTATCTCAGCCCTGGGACCGCAGCCTTTGCCACTCTGTCCTGTGCTCTCTTTGGTGTGCGCACGTGTGCATACACGTGGTGGTGGTGGTGGTGGTAGTGGTGGTGGTGGTGGTGGTGGTGAGGTTCTGGCTGCTGTCTTCACGAGGCCATGTTTGGGCTGGATTGCTGAGCCTCCTCCGGGAAAGGACAGTGGAGGCTGCCTCTGGGGGCCCAGCCTGCCTATGCTGTGGTTGGTGGGGATGCTATGTGAGAACCTGGGGGAGCGCCACAGGCCCCCATCGGCCCTTGGGACCACAGCCTCCCAGCTTCTCTCGCTTCTCTCTCCTTCTCTTCAAAACAAACACCCGCCAGCCCAAACCGCCCATCCAGCCAAGGCACAGATGGAGCCCAAGTTGGAATTAATTAGTCCTGTTGCCAAGGCAACGGGGACCTGGACTGGGATCCAGTTTTCTTCCTGGGCCCGCCCCTCCCTCCTCACACCCCCTCCCCCAGACCCTTCTCATGTTTGTACCCCTTGTGGCCCTGGTTCACCCCTGTAGTAGCTGGGGTGGCCTAGGGACCTCTTTCGAAGTCATGGAGGCAATGATGAGGGTGTCTGTGAGCGGGCTTGGAGTCCCTGCTTGGATACTCTTGGCTTGGTGGGACCTTGGGCAAATTTACGGACAGCTGTCAGCCACATTTGGTTTGGTGGGGGATCTATGAATGGAGAGGCGAACCTGCCTGGGGTGTCAAGTGTCAGGGCACTGAGGGATGGAGGGGGTAGCGGAAGTGACATAAGCCTGAGGTGTCCCGGGATACAGTAGGTTCCACAGTGACACCCAGGCAGTGGGCCATGATGGGTCCCTCTAAGCAGCTAGCATCTCCGTGATCTGTGACAGTTCTGGGATGCCCTCATCCCTACCCATAGGCTTGTCCTGACCTTGCTACTTCTCCAGGAACCCACCTCTTTTCTCTTTCCTTCCTCTCCCCCGGAGCCTCACTGGATTCTGGTCATCAAGCTGTGTTCTTCATCTCTGCCCAGGGGTGTGTCTGGCTCTGGTTCTCCCTCCGGGGAAGACGTTTGACTTCTTGACACATGGTATACCACTGGTCACCTTGCAGGGTCGCAATGAGCCACCCAGCCCTGACCTTAGTCCCTAGTAGAGACACTGGATATTTCTTTTCTTTCTCTTTCTTCTTTTCTTTCCCTTCCTTCCTTCCTTCTCTCTCTGTCTTTCCTTTCTTTTTTCTTTTTTTCTTTCTTTTTTTTTTTTTTTGAGACAGGGTTTCTCTGTGTAGTTTTGGTGCCTGTCCTGGATCTCGCTCTGTAGGCCAGGCTGGCCTCGAACTCACAGAGATCCTCGTGGCTCTGCCTCCCGAGTGCTGGGTGGGGTTAAAGGCATGCGCCACCATGACTGCCCAGCTGACATTGACTATTTCTTATGCTTAGCCAAGGGGTGGGTACTCCATGAGAGGGGTCCTGGCCCGGGAGGAGAGCTGTGAGACAAGTGATTGTCCTGAAAGGGTCTGGATACTGTGTCCTGCCTCTTGCTGGAAGGTGCTGGTTTGAAGTACACAGGCAGGGTTTTGAGGGCCAGGCTCCTGGGGCTTCTCAGTGACTCCGTGACAATCTATTGCCTGGACCTGTAGCTTCTCCTGAGGGCTGGGATTTGGAGGAGGGTGTTGTAGTGACTGAAACAGACCCGGACTGTGAGGTTCAGTTTTGGTCCACGGAGGCAGGCACTGTAGACGGTTACTGCCTTGGGCTGTTTGTGGAAGTGCACTCAGCGCCGAGGACATGGGGACTCCAAGGAGAAGGGGCCACCTTTACCCCCTGCTCTTATCTTCTAAGTGCCCAGGGCTGGGCTGGGCACACAGGAGTGCCACCTTGAGTTGGCAGTACC